GCGGGGGGGGGGGGGAAAATATAACATTTTCAACCAGATGAACTCACAGTTTTGTATACATATGCAATTTCAGGGAAAAATTCCTAACAAAATGAGAAAAAACAGTCTTTCTATAAAGTTCTATTAATACTTTTAATCATATTACAAGCTTAATGCATTACATGAATTTGTTAAATTGACACAGTTGGACATTCAGATAAACAGAGAGAAAAAAGGTTGCAATCTATCAAAAGCATGTTATAAAAACAGGCCAAGTATTTTCTTTGCTTGATCCCTAACAAAGGGGATTTTCCTCAAGGCAATTAAGTGTTTTGTCTTATTTTTTGCTACTTTTTTTTTTTTTTTTTTAAATGGTAACATATCAGTTCTACTGCTTTGTTAAATACACTCTAATTTGTTCCTATCCCTGTGAATAGCTATTTTGTTAGGACACTTTTCTTTGGTATTAGTAACAGTTGTGATAGGATTGCTTTCTCTCCAGTTTTCATTTTACAGAAGACCACAAGGCCTCAGAAGATTGTTGTGGGGAAGAAATACACTGGGCCAACCTATCATGTCTGTATTACACAAAGAACAGCCCAGTTCGGTATTCTTTCTACTCTGGAGGAATCTCACATCAGGTAGTGGAAGCTAATTCAATTATTTCTTTGCTGTTAAATGATTTTTTTTCCAGCATCTCTCCTTTAAGCACAATTTACATTTTAATATTCTGGAGTGATATCTGCTGCTGCCAAAAAGCAACATAAGATGCAGTCATTGCACCTCACTATAGAAAGAAGGGAACTGGTTACAGGGACTCACACACCTTACTTTTCTCACATAACCAAGTAAATTACATTATAATTAATGCAGTATGCAGAAAACAGGGCTAACTGAGTTTAAAAGCTATACAGTTGCAGCCTCATTTAGGAAATGCCTCCAGACTTGCTTGAGCATTCAGTAATAAACTTAGACCACAAAGCAAAGTGAATGTTCAACTCTGCATGCCCAGAAGGGAGAGAAGATCCTTTTCTCCATACTCCTAAGCCCATATTAGTCCCTCCAGTCTTTTTCCAACAAAGTAGGATTCAAGGGATCCAGGAATCATCATATCCATTTTTCTTATGTTATTATATAATTACTATAATCTTGATTACAATTTTCTATTAAAATAATGCATCAGCATCACCACCAGGAAACAAGGCCCTGTTTTGCTACATCTTGTAAAAGCATCAAAAAATAAAAATCCATTTTCAAACTAAATGGATTAGGAAAATAGAAGGGGCCACAAAGAGTTTGGGAACAGAAAAGAAATTAATGTTTGGCATTCCTGTTCTGCCACAAGCGGCAGTTATGGATAGTACCTGAGGCGCTTTCTGCCCTTGATCAACTGCTCATTAGTGCATTTAAAATCACTTAAATGATCTGTGGTGATGATTTAAAACAAGATAATCCTCAAGCACAATATCTACAGCATTTAATGAATTTAGTGAGGGGAATCCAGGATCTGCCCCCAGCCCAGCCATGAACATGTTCAAGAAGTTTGAACATATACACATTCAGTCATGGTAGAATATATTCTGAAATAATACCAAAAAGATGGGAACAACCACAACTACAGTTGTTCTCACATTCTTTGTTTTTACTGAATCCAAGCTTTATTAAGGTTTTAGTGTCCTATAAAAACAGCCCCATTGAAACAGTGGGAGAAACACCAGAACTGAACATCTAGAAACACTTCCACAAATGGGTTTTTCTTCTTCCTCTCTATATACACACTGTAATCATAGAATCACAGAGTGGTTTGGGTTGGAAGGGACCTTAAAGCTTATCCAGTCCCACCCCCCCTGCGATGGGCAGGGACACCTTCCACTAGCCCAGGTTGCTCAAAGCCCCGTCCAACCTGGCCTTGAACACTGCCAGGGAGGGGGCAGCCACAGCTGCTCTGGGCAACCTGTGCCAGTGTTTCAACAACCTCACACTAAGAAATTTCCTCCTTGGAGCTAATCTAAATCTATCCTCTTTCAGTTTAAAACTGTTACCCCTCATCCTATCCCTACACCCCCTGATCAAGAGTCCCTTTCCATCTCTCCTGTACCCCCTTTAAGTACTGGAAGGCTGCTATAAGGTCTCCCCAGGGCTTTCTCTTCTCCAGGCTGAACACCCCCAACTCTGTCAGCCTGTCCTCTCAGGGGAGGTGCTCCAGCCCCCTCATCATCCTCGTGGTCTCCTGCGAATCCACTTGAGCAGGTCCATGTCCTTCTGATGTTGGGGGCCCCAGAGCTGGACACAGGACTGCAGGAGGGGTCTCAGGAGAGTGGAATAGAGAGGGAGAATCCCCACCCTCAACCTGCTGGCCACATTTCTCTTGATGCAGCCCACGATATGGTTGGCTTTCTGGGCTGCAAGTGCACATTGTTGGGTCATGCTGAGCTTCTGTCAACCAACATGACTAGTGCAGGCAACTAGCACAATGAAGGTGATGGGTCTAGAGAACAAGTCCTGTGAGGAGCAAATGAGGGAACTGGCATTGTTTAGTCTGGACAGAAAGAGGGTCAGAGAAGACCTTATCACTCTCTACAACTACCTAAGAGGAGGTTTTAGAAAGGTGGGTGTTGGTCTCTTTTCCCAAGTAACAGATGATAGGAGAAGAGGAAATGGCCTCGAGTTGTGCCAGGCAAGGTTTGGACTGGATATTAGGAAAAATTTTTTCATCAAAAGGGTTATCAGGCATTGGAACAGACTGCCTAGGGAAGTCACCATCCCTGGAGATATTTAAAAGATGTGTAGATGTGGCATTTAAGGACATGGTTTAGTGGTTAACAGTTGGACTTGATGATCTTAATGGTCTTTTCCAACCTAAATGATTCTGTGAATGGCAGGATCAAATCATTGGCTATGGCTATGTTACCTTATATGCTGCTTTAAACACTAGCTAATTCCCTCCTTACATGGGATTCAAGATGCCATTATTATATACTTGAATCTAAGCACTTCTTGCACTTGAGCAATATAAATGCATGTAAAGACTGCAATCTATAATACAGGTTCCATCATACTGTATACACACATCACTACAGCCACAGTGAAAGTATTTCAACAGATACAACATTATCAGATAGCCAAATTATATCCTTGCTGTCCAACAATTACAGCACCACTCCATACAGCAAAACAGGAACCTCTGGAATTCTGCATTCGTGAGGGCAGCTGGGACTGAACTGCTACATCAGGAAGTGAAATGTGCTCAGGGCTTTCATTGTTACAGAATATACTCAGGGCTTTGAGCAGAAAAGTAAAAACAATTTTGGTTATTGAAGGGATTACTTGTGTATAAGGCATTTATTAGGAAAAAGTTATCTAAGTTCATAATATGCTTGTATGACATGGAGAAATTGTGTTCACTCTATATTTAAAAGCAGTTGAGTATGAACAGTTCCTTTTCCTTTCAGAAATTATTTCTTAAGTAGAAAAATAGTGTTATACCCAAGACTGGTTTTACCAAACCTGTCACTAAATTTTTTCACTAACCCATGTTCTGATCTTATTTAAAACACAGTTTGGGAAAATGCCAGCCATTACCTCTCTCAAGTTGTGCTTTGGTTTCATGTTATTCCTCACAGAGGCTTTGTGGAAACAAGTGCAAAGAAAAATTACTCATTTCTCTTCAGCTGAACTCTTGAACCTGCAACCTTGATCCATAGCAGGTAAATGAAGCCAGGTGAGATTAACTTCTTACCATAGAGGCCGTCATGCCCTCTCTGCCTTTTTCCAACACCCATACACATGCACACCTTTACACATTTTTCTCTTCTGTGCAGGTAAATCACAGGACTGTGGCTGACTATTACATTACAGCTCATTTGGCTTCACAGATTGCCACATGACTGTAAGCACTACATGCAACTCAAATTACTATCTATTTGTGTGAAGTACATGCACATCATCCTATCATCTCCAAATGCTCTTAACTAAATTGCTAGTTAATCCTTGAGTTTTTCATTTCTTCATATTTATTTTCCCACTTCTTTGAGCCACTGATTTTTTCTGCTGATTATGCTGTTACAATAGTTTTCAGAGTAGAGAAGACGAGGAGATGCAACATTACTTTAAAGACCATAAATTCTTCTTCCATTCAGAGTCTTTAAAGCAGTATCAGTAATACTACAGTTAAGAAATCAGTACTGGTCCATCTCCATGAAGTATGTATCTTCTGATCTTGAGTGCAGAAGTTATGCTGATAAAGAAATCAGAATACTGCTTATGTGCTGTTCAAGCTGATAGTTTCAAATCTGTTAATAACTTAATATGGGCAAACATATGATAATTTCTGGAAAATTCTATTAAATATTTTTCATTTCAGAGTTTCTTCTATTCTTAAAAAATCATCTGGTACTTATGCCCAATCCCTCTGAGCATTATGAATAACATTAAGTGGGGGAAAGTGCTGCAAATATGCTGCAAATTTTTCTAGCATTTCCCTTGTTTCCTACTAGAACGTGTTGCAACTTAAAGACCTGAAAATTAAGGCTATAATATTAAAACACCGGGAATTTCTTTCAAAGTCAGTGATCCCTCATAGGCATTTGCAATTTGGTTTGTGAGCAGCAGTTACAATACCCCTAAGCTCTTCCTGACCCTTGCTATTTTTGTAAACATTTCCACTAACTTGGAAGAGATTCTAGTATAGGTGATTAAGCTCTAGGTAAATTCTAGTTTTCTAGGGGTTTCAAGAAGAGGAAAGAATTCCTAGCCTGCCACACCAAGCTTATATGAAAAGGGTGCTAAGAAAGAATTTATGATTTTTTTCAAAAGTCACAAGCAAAATTGTAAGAATTTTGAAAGTAGATAGAGTCCTTCAACACTATTTTCAGCAATTAATATATGTAAATTCTACATTTACAATAGAGGCATTTCCTGTCATTTTTATCTTACATGGAAAGACATAATAAAAACTAAAGAATCAGAAGTTTACCCAGAATTCACACTTGTCTGAATACACATCTGTGTAAATAGTACATGATAAACTATGAGCTACATGGGTAGAGACACACACAAGTCTGTTTGGAAAACACTGAATTTGGGAAGTTTAGCACAAAAAGTCACAGGCCTCTAGTTATTAGAACTACTGTTTTTTTCAATAGTGGATACATAACAGGTTGTTTTAATCACTCTGACTAGTTATAGTGTGAAAACACAGTCAGACAAAACCAAAAGATTTCATAAGTAATGATTCCTTTGGGACTGCAAGGAAAAAAAATACAGTGGAACTGAAAATACAGGAAATTTCATTTCTGTTTGCATGATTTCTGTTGCATTATCAAGCAGACAAACTGTAACAAAAAAGAGATAGTACATTGTCAGGGCAGTGAAAGAAGAAAGTAGCAACAAATCTAGGAAGAGGAAATAAAGGGAAGACAGGTTTTCTTGATACTTGTACCCCAAGACTCAGAATTTTGATATTTTACTCGTGACACCTCCAAATAATGATAAGAAAGAAAACATTGATCTTTACAAGAGAGAAGATAGAAGTGGTGTAGTTCCCCAACATACTCCAAGGTTATATCTGTTGCATTTGCTGTTAGAAGTTGAGAAAACTTAACCTTCCAAAGTTTATAATTTACAGGCATAATTTCTAGTTTAAATTCTTGGACTGCCTGACAAAGAAACTTTATTTAGAGCCACTAAACACTTCTTTGAAGAACCCCCAGTCCCCTGCCAAAACTAAAAAGTACTGATTGTAGCAGCCATGCATAGTGCTTTAAGTGAAATCTTTCTTCACTAATATTCAGAAGAGAATCAAAATAGACGTTTGCCTTCACTTGAACAATGTACCTTTTTTGCATTTTATTGACTATTCTGATCAAGATTCCTTCCAAAACTAAAGCAGTCATAAGGTTTCCCTTTGCACATGCTAATACTAGAATTTGGAAGAACCTGAGTTATGTGAATGCACAGGATCAATAAAAAGCCATTTTTATGATCACAGATTTGAAAGACTCTGACTCAAAGAGATAGCTACACATGATACCAGATAAAAATAATTCTCAATAAATAACTTCTGCTAAGATCCAGATTTTCTTAATTAATGCAGTTGCTTTATTTTTCTTCACTTCTTTTTACCTTGAGTATGAAACAGAACCATGTCATATATTTTTTTAGCAATTATACGTTGAATTTTAGGCATGATTTCTTTTTAAGTGAGAAAAGATATACATACACGTACACATTTGCTACACTTAAAACTTGATGCTTGTACTATAAAGATACAGCTTTTCTGAACCCCCCCTACATACAGCTTTAGCAGCTATTATTATTTAGTTTTGATTTATTCATAGATGTTGGATTGAAACTTTGCTAGCACTGCAAGAATATTTTGAAAAGAGTCCATCCACTTAGCCAAAATTTGAAACAGCTAGTATATACATGGTATATACTTACAAGACTTATATAGAATAAACCTGTTTAAAGGGGGAAAAAAAAGCCTAAAGGCAATTTACAAAAGCTTTATTCTTTTGTTTGCATTCTATCAGTATAAAGAAATAATGCGACTATTAAAACAGTCTCCTGATAGAAATGGCGAAGAGCTTTAAACAGGTTTCACTTACACAGCATTTCTTCTCCTCTTTTGAAATATGTACTTTAAAAAAGCTTCACAATTAAAATATTGTACACATTTTGCAAGGTTCTCACAGATCAGGAACTGTTTTTGGAAAGCCTCACTCCAATTTGGCAAACAATTACAGCATACATTACACTAAGGTGCATTAAACGTTTGGCTTCTGTGAGGGTACGGAAACATGTGCTTACCCACAGTTAAGTTCAATAAGCAAAACAAAGTCAGTTATAATTTAAAATGGGGGGAAAAAAGAAAAAGAAAAAAGGAGAGAAAGGGAAAGGACAACAAGTCTAAAAGACGGAGAACATTACAACAGCCGAGTAGAAACAAATGAGATATTATAAAAGGGATGCAGTCACAGGATTATGTGTAACTCTGTTACAGCTAAACACCAATAGCTTCTGGTGAAATTAGTTCTGTGTGCTACTTTTACTAAAGTATAAAGAAGCATATTCAAAAGCCAATGAGCACAAAGAAAACATAGTAATCACTATTCACAATAGCGAATTCTATACTGAATTTGTGAACGGGACATGAGTTAGGCAAAATACAAGCAGCCTCCCTTTGCCTGGGATCTTTGTAGTGACACAAGCTGAATGATCTAAACAGAAAATGTCTGTCTGTGCTAGGAGGAGGGGAAGAAATAAACCACCACAAAAACAAAAACTGCTTTCCTCATGGAAGAATCGTAACTTTGGACAACATTTGGCACCACAAGTTCAAAGGGCTAGTTTATCTGCATTTAAGTACAGACCCAGGGATTTTACAGTATTCCTGTCTCCATGCTACTGCTTTTTGTGCCATTAATGGCATTTAAATTATAGACCTGCTGCAGCCATGTAGTCAAAACACCACATCACCCGATGAGACACTGTATTATAATGTCAGCGTGTCTGTGTTTTAACTGTTCTTTCATATACTATACTTCTCGTCAATCATCCTCTTTCTCTGCCAAAGAATAGATACAAGAGACAAGTCTATCTTTAGATCACACTGAAATTTCTTACTCAGACAGCTGCAATACTTCATTCATCACGTAGCAAAGACTCCTGTTTACACCAATGAAATTTGGAGAGGTACAAATACTACAGAGCCAGATAAAAAACATTAATGAAGAATTTAAAATTAAAATATAGGATATGGTTAGGGAGTCAGAAATAATGTGCTTTAAACAAACTAACTTCTAAACTAGATCAGGTGGGATTTTTTTTCTTATGTTTTTTAAATATTAGGGATTTTTTTGTTTCCACTTTCAGTAAAATATTCCAGATGTACTGAAACACTGTTTCCAGAAGCAGGTATTTATTGACCTGTACATATGTAGTTATTCAAAATAGCAAATATTGATTAAATAACAATTTGTACTTTGATAGCATCCTAAAAGAGAATACGCTGAAATTTCTTAACAACTGTGTGACAAAATCCAAGACATTTGTATTTCTAAATTATTCAAACAAAATTGAACTAGTCATACGAAGTCACTAACAGAGTTAGGAACTGAATCCAGATTTTTGACCTGCACTTAAAACTTTTTTTCATCTCAAAAGCCCAAAGAAAGCTGTTTCAAGGTCAAAACCAGGCCTTTCCTTTGGGGGTGGGGTGGTGGTGGGGTGTCTGCTGCTTACAGCTCTCAAACAGCCAGCTCCATTTAAGATTAAAGGATGTATTTATCTAAGGAAGAAGTTTTAAGATTTCATGATTTTTCTATTTTCTGCACTGTAAAGTACGTGCAGTTAATCAGTCTGAACACTCAGAACCTCAAGTTAGTATTTCAAATTATTCACACTAAGGAAAAAAATATTCACATTATTAAACTTTACTGAGATAATTTTATTCTATATTTGCTTATTTCTTATTTCTAATGCCATATGCAAAATAACAGTGATTTTTGCTCATTAAAGTTGTAATCTCAACTCAGAAGAGCTAAATACCAGGAATCCATGAAGGTTTTTGAGCATGTTCTAAACTTGCCAAGATTATCTAGGGCAACTGAATATATTCAACAGTTCAATTAAACTTTTAAATTTGTTTCCACTGGGGGGGGGGGAGGAAGAGAAAAATCAGCCTACAGTTTTCTTTTTAAATGTT